TAAATTCCGGGTAACCATTGCTTGGCTTGTAATCTGTTATATGATTATGGTACCTAAATGTTTAAAGATGACGCTAGTTTGCTGTATTGACACATACAATATTTTTGCAGAAACTTAATTTGAAGGATTATCAAAATGTTAGTGGTATGTGTTGTGTTCATAGCTTGTACTGATATGGTGATGGAAAATTAATATTTCTAAGTCTAACACACCTTTAATTACTAGATATTTTCTGCTACTTGTATATATATTAATAGACTAAAACAGCATTACTCCTTTGCCATTGTGTTATATTGGTCTACACTGTTCAAGGCATAACACTTTAGAACGACTGATCAAGGTTTATAACAATTTCGATGTAAAATGGAAATTAAAAAAAAAATCATAGACCCAAAATTCTGTTTATTTCCGGTCACATTTAAAAATGAAGTGGCGTCAATTGAATGTTTTCATCCTTTATACATCTAAATCAAAATATTTTTTAAGTGAATTACAAAATTTATGTGTATTAAATATAATAAATAAAAGGCAAGGATAATGTTTAGTCACAGCTTTAGTCTTTCTGCTCACATTTCCTTTTTATAGTGCTGTCCTATCAGGCCTATGTTCAATTAATTTTGAAAAAGTAATAAACTGTTTACTAAAAGTCGATATGTAAATATGCCAGTTAAAAACTTTTAAAACGTTGTTTTTATTAATTAGCTTTTGATATTAACAGTTACAATTACATTCTTTATAAGGAAAATGACTTGACTTACTAAAAGATATTCTTATCAACAATCATTTTCATTTATTTATTATTTACCTTTAATTCCCAGACAATTATATAAATAGTAATAAAATTTATATGCAAATGGGGATGCTGCCCTTATTAACAATTCAGTTTTGGTGCTTTAATGTCATTCTTTTAAGTGATGTAACATCTCTCTTCAGCTATGGGACTTTGTCAAACACTCCCCCACTTCTACCTAAGTACTTGTATTATTATTGTTTTGGATTGATCAATAATTTTTTAAAACAATTTGCAGTAATTTATAATTAATTTTTAAATGAAATTGGATTGAAGTTGGAAAGTAACATACAGTACTTGTAAATTCTATAAAAACGTTATCTGTCGTATTTTAAAATGAAGTAATAAACATTTTATTTTTCTAGAAAAGTGTGAAAAAAATTATTGAGAGAAGGGACATAGTATGAATTAAATGTGAATAATATTATAATATTTGCACCATATTTAATAACATGTAATTTCAAATGTCTCAAGGGAATGATGCACAGTGGTTCAGGTCCATACACAAGTATAAAATTTTATGTCAGCTCTGGAAAATTGAAGGCCCCTCCATCACACATCAAATGAAGAAACGGGAACTTTGAAGTTTGAACCTCATATTGGGAAAATGTTTTGTTGTAAGGTCTTTGTGGCTGTGCTATACATGAAAGAAATAGAACTTCAGAAAGAAAAATGACAGGTAAAATTGTTTAAGAGGTGAAAATTAATATTAAATTTAATGTTATGTGATGGTCCAGGTGGTGATTCAAAAAGGCTTCATGATTCACAAATGATACCACAAATCATGTTATTGTTCTGATATTAAAGGGAATTGTGTAAAAGAATTATATTTAATATTCTAAATGAAAACTATAATATGCAAGAATGACATCTACATAGTTCCTTTAACAATAGTTTAAAGTTTAAATTTAGCTTAAAATAAGTGATGATTAATAAATGAACACCAGAAATGAATTGTCAAGGTCTGAATTGTGAATATTCAAATATTAGCCTTGAGTTTGGTGGTGTTTAGTGATTTTAGCAATATTGCCATGTAATATTGCATTCATTTTGGTGACATCATCAAATCATGATCTAACAAGGTTCATATTAAAAAAACATGTTCTGTGCCATTTCTTAAAAAAACATTTTCATTTTTTACATAATATTTGCAAAGATTTATGTGTTCCCATAATCATAAAAATCCGTTGTGTGTTCTTTCTAAGGAAATTTCCATTCATTGATTATAAATTTAATTTAATTCATTCGCATTAAAATATAGTTTGGTTTATTACATTGATAACTTCAAAGTAAAACCATAAATTGTAATTCTACTATCTACTGAAAACCATTTAATAATTTGATGCCTTTCTTTTTAAAGCCCTGGAGAATGTGATGTTGCCACTCCAGTGAGGGGTTAATTTAAGTATGATATGGGATGGCAATAGCGTGGAGCCGGTCGTGTATACGACAGTTAATCTGGTGTCGGGACAATGATAGGACATTTATCTGGAAAAGTATGTGGGTTTAATGTTCGGTCCAAAGACTGCAGAAAATGTACTTATCATATAAACAAAGGGCAGTTTCTACCTGACCACAAGTGTAGCAAAAATTGGGATGGGTCTTCAAAATGTATGGAACCAGATGTTGCCGCCCAAGTTGTAATGAACATTGAACATAATAAAAACGTACAAGTGGGTGTATCGATAATGGATGATGACACAACAACTGCTGGTAAGCTTCGAGAAACGCTTAACTATTCATTTGTCAAGCGGAGTGATATGAATCACACAAGAAAGCATCTTGGCAACAGCCTTTATGCGTTGCAAAAAAAACCAAAACAAGACAAGTGCCTAACAACAAAAGTAATTCAATATATTCAAAAATGTTTCAGCTATGCAGTAGCCCAGAATAAAAACAATTCTGAGGGGCTTGCAAAAGCATTGAATCAAATTGTTCCACATGCTTTCGGATTACATGAAAATTGCATGATACTTTGTGTGGTTACATTAATGATCCAGAGAAACACAAACACAGTTCTTTGCCCTATGGTCGAGACTTAGTCGGTGATGAGCTTCGTACAGATTTAAGCTCATTTTTGAAAGTTTCATAAAAAATGTTGATAAAATATCACCAGCAGCATCAACAAAAGATGTAGAGTCTTTCAACAATATGATAGCATCAAAAGCACCAAAACGTTGCCGTTACTCTTCAACAAGTAGCTTACAAAACAGAGTTAATTGTGTTATTGCAGAAAAAATTTAGGCTCAACATATGTTTCACAGGTGAACAAATCAATTGGTATATCTCCAGGAAAATTCTATTCAAAACATTTTGAAAGAAAAGATAATAAACGAAAAAGGCGTTTAGAATTTGAAAATACGCTTACTTTAAAAAAAAGAAAAATTGAAAAAAATGAACAAAAGTAAACAAAACGCACAAAAAGAGTTAAGAGAAGGTGTAACTTATCAATCATCAATAGACTTAATAGGTAACAATGAAACTGATATTATTGAAATACCAAAACTAAGTTCAGCTCCAGAGCTAAGAAAAATAGAAACAAACACTGACTGTTCACATGTTTATTGTGATATTGAGACAACAGGTCTTTATAAATCATGTGATATAACACAAATAACCGCTGTGTCCGGGAAAGACAACTTCAACCAGTATATTCTTCCAACTCAACCCATAACTCTTGGAGCAACACAGGTGACTGGATTGACAGTGGTAAATAATTGTGCTACAAAGGAAAGCCAGTACATTCAGTGTATCTAAGAACAGCCTAGGAACAGTTTTTAGTTTGGTTAGAAAAAAGAAATCCATGTGTACTGATATGTCATAATTTTAGATTTTTTGACTTCCCAAGGCTAGTAAGGTCATTTGAACTATGTAATTTATTAACCTCTTTTCAAAACTCTGTAATAGGTTTTGTGGATACTCTGCCGTTGTGTAAAGAAAAATTTCCAGGTTTAGATAAATATAGTCAAGAATATCTTGTGAAGAATTTAATGAATGCTCAATATTCTGCTCATAATGCCCTTGAAGATGTGTGTAGTTTACAGAAACTTCTCATATTTACTGTAATACCCTTTGACCAGATGTGTGCCGTTGTATAACAATGGATGCAGTAATAGACCCATACATACTTGAAAAGAAAGCTGATGTAAACTTGGTATCTCTAAGTAATATGCAACAGGAAAACAAGTAGTAAACAAATGGCAATGAAAATAGCCAAAAGTGGATTGTCATTAGCACATCTGAGACTGGCAGTAAATCGTGGAGGTCGCGATTGTTTATACAAATCATTTACGGAGAAAGTAAATGGAAAAGTGAGGGTTACCTCTGCGAAGAGAATAATAGACAGTGTGTTTAGTTATTTATGTCTTACTTCTGATTTGAACCTATAAACATCTCAAATGTATGTGTACATTGATATGTGTAACTCTTGAATGCAAAATATACATGTGGTTACAATAAAATAAACAGTTGAACAAAGTTATTATTAACATAACTGCAAAATATGGACAAATTATTCCAATAATTTATTTTCATTAACTATCACCATCACGGTTTATCTTTTCATTCATGTAATTGACAAGGTTGTTGTTGTTCACAGGTAATTTAAACACAAATTGTCTAGAAATATAAACTGACTAAACATGATTATTTCAAGCAGTGTTCTTGAAAAGTTTCTTTTTTTTAATTCGCTACTTTTGTATTATTAGTGGAACGATTACCATGGAAACCAGAAAAAGGTATGTCTGTACCTAAAGAGTTTATTTAATTTTGAATAATGTATTAAAAGAATGACCATCAGAATATAGTAACTATATGAATTTATGAAAGCAATGTTCAAGTATTTTCATTTTTTGTGAAATACTTACTTTTGTTATGATTTGTTTATCGAGAAACTTTTAAAAGAAATAAATATGGCAGACTTATTTAAAAAATGTTCAGATTCACTTCATGTAACATCAAAAGAAAATGTCATTTGTAATAAGTTTGTTTATATATAACAATGCATTTGGTACAATTAATTGTTTTTAAGAAAGCATGCTTATTTTGACAGAATTGGTATTTGCCGTTACCATGGAAACTGCCAGTTTACAAAGAATCTAACACGTCAACATATATTTTTCTTTTTTATTTTTGAATTCACCGTTGAATTTCACATAATATATTTAAAAAATTAGAAAAATTCTATGAAAGAAATGTCTTTATAACTTTATTTATTTACAGGATTCATGTTCAGTTTTCTCATTTTTTTGTTTCGTGAAGAAATATGAAAAACTTATTTTGTAGAGAAAAAGTTATGTTTTGATTATTCTTAAATCAATACAGCATCAAAAGATAAAGATATTTATGTATGAAGTCCTGTTTGTTGTTGATATTAAGTTGCCTTGTACCTTTTTATTGATTTATAAGGAAAATGTGGCAATTTTGAAATTTTGGAGATATATACGGTTACCATGGAAACTGCCATTTGGCAAAAAACCAACGCGCCAACATATTTTTTTTTCATTTTTGAATTCACCATTGAATTTTACATAAGATATAAAGGATATAGAAAATTCTATGAAAGGATTTTTTTGATATCTTTATTTTTTTACAGAATTCATATTGATTTTTCTCATTTTTTGTCAAGTTCAGAAATATGTAAAAGTCATTTTGTAAAGATATATGTTCAATTTATTGTTTACTTCATATAGAATTAAATGATCAAGTTATATATGTACAAAATAATGTTTGTTGTGTATATTTAGCTATCTAAAACATTTTTTTTATTTTTATAGAAAATGTGGCCAATTTTTGACCGTTTTGAGATATACCGTTAACATGGAAACTGCCATTTTGCAAAAAAACCAACGCGCCAACGTATATTTTCTTTTTCATTTTTGAATTCATCATTGAATTTTACTTGCATCTTGTTCATAAATTTATTGGGGTGTAAACAAACGAAACGGTCAAACCGCGTATATATTAACTGTATCCCAGACATATTTTTTTTCAATACACGTACCTGAAAATAATTCATTATTATGATGTTTAATTCTTGGTTGGGTTTACCTGCTTCATCTATAAAAAGGTACACATGAACAATATTTCATTGACAGTTACTTTAATAAAATGAGAAACTTATAGATAACCTAGCTAATAAAAACCATAAAGGTCACCAACCAATTTTAGAAAGAATGTTATGATAATATAAGTTAATATGAAATTATCTTTATTCCTCAGACACTTGCTATAATGTATTTAAGATTAAATGAGTACACACGTTTTCGACATTTCTCTCCTGTCCATCCTGGTATGCAGCCGCGGGTACACCACCCATCAGTATTGTTACATTCCTGTTTATCACATTGTTGACTACATTTATACGCACATCTGTGTCCATACATTCCACTGGAGCATGCTAAGAAAAATTATGAATAATAACTATTATACACCTTTTAAAACATAACCAATGATTCTTCAGCAGTTAGATAGAAATCATTTTCTGATGGAATCTTATTTATTCAGCCTCGTTATCATTTTCAGAATCCAAAATATCCAATTCAGATAGACACCGTCCTCCATGTAGCCTCAATTTTATATTCAGGGTAAAAAATCTTATCAATTCCTTAATGTCCTTTAAATTAAAAAGAACTGTCAAATGATGAAGATATATATTATGCTCGAATTTGATATTTGTAAGTATTAAAAATTGCTACACTGTCTCTATTTAAAGTTTATAACATAAAATCTAAATAATTCGACATCTGCGAATGTTTCTAAATTAAAAATTTCACCATTTTTCATGCTTTAATGTTGAATTCTGCTAAGGCCGGTACAAGGGCGAATGGACGGGAACATGCAATTTTCATTGCCGTCCATGAACAAACTTAATCAAACCGAGCCTGCAACATTTTCAATTTTGTCAATTTTGACTTTCTTTAGGGATTCCGTTTTTCTCTTTTTGTTTTTCACATCAAGTAGATATACCATGTTTTAATCTCTACACACTATAGGAGGCCACAAAATGAATATACATTGTCATTAAAAAACTGGCTGTTATTTAAAGAAAGGCCAAAATTTTACTATACCTGTAAAAGAGAATGCAGTTTCGCATGATTTGTACATTTTTTTAATTCAAATTAGGCATGTTCAGTAAGAATTTAATTGATTTTAATAATTTTTTGCGATAAAATTATTTTACTCAAAGATGAGCATAGAATATATTTAAAGAAATAATATTTCGTCTAGCATACAAAAGTCCTTCTGAATACGTATGCGAAAAGGACTGCTTTTCGCTATTAAGTCATACCAGGAAAAAAGTATTACAACAGCTATTACATTTCAAGGAGGCACTTTGTTTACATTGATATTTTCGCTTGACATGAACGGGTTTGATAATTGTTAGCTGCGGGTGATGTATCCTCATTGCATTTTTTTGCCAGTGGGCTTCCAGAAAGACGATGATGACGATAAAAGCAACAAGAACCAGTGGCAAGGAGCCCAGGCGGACCCCAAACAAAAAAAAGGACAGGGCAAAGACAGAGCACGGACAGGTTAATCACTAAATGATAAATAATTTGTAACTGATTAGAAATTCAAAGAAAACAAATAAATGATTGAATAAAAGGCCCACAAAGGGGAAGGGGACAGGAGACAGGAGGAAGGGGGGGGGGGTTAATCAAAGAAATAAAAACCAGAGGTAATGGGGAAGATACTTACCGTATACGAGAAAACAACAAGGGACACAAGCAAAAGTGTCACCAAAACAGTATGAAACAACATAGACATACATCTGAGGAACACAGAAGGGCGCCGCTTTGGAACGGTCAGCAGCATAATAATGACTGCTGGGGAGTTTAAACCAATGGTGCACCAAACCTCGCTCTTAGCCCCACAATGTTCCTATAAACGAGACAATCACCTACAAGGGCCCGACGAAGCAAGGCAGAAGACGAACATTAAAACAATTCAGTCCCAAAGGGCTTTACGAACTATCCATCATAGAGTCTCCCACTTGGTCCGTCAGATGTAGTCAAAAGAGGAAAGCGTAGTGTTCAACTGTATAAGGGTTCAACACTAAACATGCAGTATGTCTTACAATAGTAGGGTCATAACCTCTTTTAATAAAATGTTTAATGATTTTAGTAAAAACAGCAGAAAAATTACCATGACCCAAAATTTTACGAAGTTTGTAAATCACATCGCCATAAAAACCAGGCTGGCTAATCCCTTGTCGCAGAAGAATTTTTAAATCACTATTAAATTTAAAAATTAAATCAAAGTTACGATTGTAAAGTTGTATGTTCCTCCTTTTGTATAAATTCCGGGTAACCATTACTTGGCTTGTAATCTGTGATATGATTATGGTACCTAAATGTTTAAAGATGACGCTAGTTTGCTGTATAGACACATACATTATTTTGCAGAAACTTAATTTGAAGGATTATCAAAATGTTAGTGTATGTGTTGTGTTCATAGCTTGTACTGATATGGTGATGGAAATTAATATTTCTAAGTCTAACACACCTTTAATTACTAGATATTTTCTGCTACTTGTATATATATTAATAGACTAAAACAGCATTACTCCTTTGCCATTGTGTTATATTGGTCTACACTGTTCAAGGCATAACACCTTAGAACGACTGATCAAGGTTTATAACAATTTCGATGTAAAATGGAAATTAAAAAAAAAATCATAGACCCAAAATTCTGTTTATTTCCGGTCACATTTAAAAATGAAGTGCGTCAATTGAATGTTTTCATCCTTTATACATCTAAATCAAAATATTTTTGTGAATTACAAAATTTATGTGTATTAAATATAATAAATAAATAAATGGCAAGGATAATGTTTAGTCACAGCTTTAGTCTTTCTGCTCACATTTCCTTTTTATAGTGCTGTCTATCAGGCCTATGTTCAATTATTTTGAAAAGTAATAAACTGTTTACTAAAAGTCGATATGTAAATATGCCAGTTAAAAACCTTTAAAACGTATTTTTATTAATTACTTTTGATATTAACAGTTACAATTACATTCTTTATAAGGAAAATGACTTGACTTACTAAAAGATATTCTTATCAACAATCATTTTCATTTATTTATTATTTACCTTTAATTCCCAGACAATTATATAAATAGTAATAAAATTTATATGCAAATGGATGCTGCCCTTATTACAATTCAGTTTTGGTGCTTTAATGTCATTCTTTTAAGTGATGTAACATCTCTCTTCAGCTATGGGACTTTGTCAACACTCCCCCACTTCTACCTAAGTACTTGTATTATTATTGTTTTGGATTGATCAATAATTTTTTAAACAATTTGCAGTAATTTATAATTAATTTTTAAATGAAATTGGATTGAAGTTGGAAAGTAACATACAGTACTTGTAAATTCTATAAAAACGTTATCTGTCGTATTTATGAGTAATAAACATTTTATTTTCTAGAAAAGTGTGAAAATTATTGAGAGAAGACATAGTATGAATTAATGTGAATATATTATATATTTGCACATATTTAATTAACATGTAATTTCAATGTTCACAGGAATGATGCACAGTGGTTCATGTCATACACAAGTAGAAAATTTTATGTCTTCAAGGGCATTATGAGCAGAATATTGAGCATTCATTAAATTCTTCACAAGATATTCTTGACTATATTTATCTAAACCTGGAAATTTTTCTTTACACAACGGCAGAGTATCCACAAAACCTATTACAGAATTTTGAAAAGAGGTTAATAAATTACATAGTTCAAATGACCTTACTAGCCTTTTTTTTACTTTTATTTACTGTTATACCCTTTGACCAGATGTGTGCCGTTGTATAACAATGGATGCAGTAATAGACCCATACATACTTGAAAAGAAAGCTGATGTAAACTTGGTATCTCTAAGTAATATGCAACAGGAAAACAAGTAGTAAACAAATGGCAATGAAAATAGCCAAAAGTGGATTGTCATTAGCACATCTGAGACTGGCAGTAAATCGTGAGGTCGCGATGGTTTATACAAATCATTTACGGAGAAAGTAAATGGAAAAGTGAGGGTTACCTCTGCGAAGAGAATAATAGACAGTGTGTTTAGTTATTTATGTCTTACTTCTGATTTGAACCTATAAACATCTCAAATGTATGTGTACATTGATATGTGTAACTCTTGAATGCAAAATATACATGTGGTTACAATAAAATAAACAGTTGAACAAAGTTATTATTAACATAACTGCAAAATGTGGGACAAATTATTCCAATAATTTATTTTCATTACCTATCACCATCACGGTTTATCTTTTCATTTATGTTATTGACAAGGTTGTTGTTGTTCACAGGTAATTTAAACACAAATTGTCTAGAAATATAAAGTGACTAAACATGATTATTTCAAGCAGTGTTTCTTGAAAAGTTTTTTTTTTAAAATTCGCTACTTTGTATTATTAGTGGAACGATTACCATGGAAACCAGAAAAAGGTATGTCTGTACCTAAACAGTTTAATAGTATTTAATTTTGAACACTATTAAAAGACTGACCATAAGAATATAGTAACTATATGAATTTATTAAAGTATTTTCATTTTTTTGTGGAATACTTACTTTTGTTATGGTTTGTTTGTCGAGAAACTTTTAAAACAAATAAATATGGCAGACTTATTTAAAAAATGTTCAGATTCACTTCATGTAACATCAAAAGAAAATGTCATTTGTAATAAGTTTGTTTATACATAACTTACAATGCATTTGGTACAATTAATTGTTTTTAAGAAAGCATGCTTATTTTGACAGAATTGATATTTGCCGTTACATTGAAACTGCCAGTTTACAAAAATCTAACACGTCAACATATATTTTTATTTTTTATTTTTGAATTCACTATTGAATTTCACATAAATATTTTAAAAAAATTTAGAAAAATTCTATGAAAGAAATGTTTTATAACTTTATTTATTTACAGGATTCATGTTCAGTTTTCTCATTTTTTTGTTTAGTGAAGAAATATGAAAAACTTATTTTGTAGAGAAAAAAGTTATGTTTTGATTATTCTTAAATCAATACAGCACCAAAAGATAAGATATTTATGTATGAAGTCCTGTTTGTTGTTGATATTAAGTTGCCTTGTACCTTTTTTATTGATTTATAAGGAAAATGTGGCAATTTTGAAAATTTTGGAGATATATACGGTTACCATGGAAAACTACCATTTGGCAAGAAACCAACAAACGCGCCAACATATTTTTTTTTTCATTTTTGAATTCACCATTGAATTTTACATAAGATATTAAAAGATATAGAAAATTCTATGAAAGCAGGATTTTTTTGATATCTTTATTTTTTTACAGAATTCAATTGATTTTTCTCATTTTTTTGTCAAGTTCAGAAATATGTAAAAGTCATTTTGTAAAGATATATGTTCAATTTATTGTTTACTTCATATAGAATTAATGATCAAGTTATATATGTACAAAAATAATGTTTGTTGTGTATATTTAGCTATCTAAAACATTTTTTTTTTATTTTTATAGAAAATGTGGCCAATTTTTGACCGTTTTTGAGATATACCGTTAACATGGAAACTGCCATTTTGCAAAAAAACCAAACGCGCCAACGTATATTTTCTTTTTCATTTTTGAATTCATCATTGAATTTTACTTGCATCTTGTTCATAAATTTTATTGGGGTGTAAACAAACGAAACGGTAAACCGCGTATATATTAACTGTATCCAGACATATTTTTTTTCAATACACGTACCTGAAAATAATTCATTATTATGATGTTTAATTCTTGGTTGGGTTTACCTGCTTCATCTATAAAAAAGGTACACATGAACAATATTTCATTGACAGTTACTTTAATAAAATGAGAAACTTATAGATAACCTAGCTAATAAAAACCATAAAGGTCACCAACCAATGTCAGAAAGAATGTTATGATAATATAAGTTATATGAAATTATCTTTATTCCTCAGACACTTGCTATAATGTATTTAAGATTAAATGAGTACACACGTTTTCGACATTTCTCTCCTGTCCATCCTGGTATGCAGCCGCGGGTACACCGCCCATCAGTATTGTTACATTCCTGTTTATCACATTGTTGACTACATTTATACGCACATCTGTGTCCATACATTCCACTGGAGCATGCTAAGAAAAATTATGAATAATGACTATTATACACCTTTTAAAACATAACCAATGATTCTTCAGCAGTTTAGATAGAAATCATTTTCTGATGGAATCTTATTTATTCAGCCTGGTTATCAATTTTCAGAATCCAAAATATCCAATTCAGATAGACACCGTCCTCCATGTAGCCTTAATTTATATTCAGGGTAAAAATCTTATCAATTCCTTAATGTCCTTTAAATTAAAAAGAACTGTCAAATGATGAAGATATATATTATGCTCGAATTTGATATTTGTAAGTATTAAAAATTGCTACAACTGTCTCTATTTAAAGTTTATAAAACATAAAATCTAAATAATTCGACATCTGCGAATGTTTCTAAATTAAAAATTTCACCATTTTTCATGCTTTAATGTTGAATTCTGCTAAGGCCGGTACAAGGGCGAATGGACGGGAACATGCAATTTTCATTGCCGTCCATGAACAAACTTAATCAAACCGAGCCTGCAACATTTTCAATTTTGTCAATTTTGACTTTCTTTAGGGATTCCGTTTTTTTTCTTTTTGTTTTTCACATCAAGTAGATATACCATGTTTTAATCTCTACACACTATAGGAGGCCACAAAATGAATATACATTGTCATTAAAAAACTGGCTGTTATTTAAAAAAAAGGCCAAAATTTTACTATACCTGTAAAAGAGAATGCAGTTTCGCATGATTTGTACATTTTTTTAATTCAAATTAGGCATGTTCAGTAAGAATTTAATTGATTTTAATAATTTTTTTGCGATAAAATTATTTTACTCAAAGATGAGCATAGAATATATTTAAAGAAATAATATTTCGTCTAGCATAACAAAAGTCCTTCTGAATACGTATGCGAAAAGGACTGCTTTTCGCTATTGAGTCATACCAGGAAAAAAGTATTACAACAGCTATTACATTTCAAGGAGGCACTTTGTTTACATTGATATTTTCGCTTGACATGAACGGGTTTGATAATTGTTAGCTGCGGGTGATGTATCCTCATTGCATTTTTTTGTCAGTGGGCTTCCAGAAAGACGATGATGACGATAGGATCGATCCTCTGTTCCGTGATATTTCCTCAACAATCAGCTGATTGTCAACCAATATCTCTTACAAAGGCTCACATAGACATATCCGCATTATGAATGCCAATCATTCTGTTGTTGTCATTTATGGAATATCTATGCTTGATAATAAGCAAAGAAAGCTAACGTTTTTATGTATACTAAAATTTGCTACATTATGTTTAAACTTGGTTTCGAATGAGCACTTGATATAAGTTTGTAAGTGTTGAAGGATTTTAACCATGCACTGCACAATGAGCTAAACATGTCAATTTATAAGATATTAATACACGACAGAGTCGGGCTGGAGGGTGATAGTCGGCCCGCATATTGAATAATGGGCTTTAGCCCGATGGCATTGTTTATTCTGGGTCGATTATCGCTTTCCAGATAGATAAAATAGTAGCACAATTTTCAATTATTTTGATATGTCTTTGTTTTAGATTCATGTCGCTGTACTGCACAGTAACTCAGAAAATGTTACTTCCCGTTTGTTGATTCAACGCCCGCTAGATCCAAGAAGCTTGCAAGTTTTATTTTAACGGTATAACATTTATTTCATTTTTTATATTTCAGAGAAACTGTTTGTACAAATTGTGCTTAGGTTCTAAACATAAATCACTCCGCTGAATGAAACCTACTTTCACTTCAGAGCTAGCTGTTTTGATGATGTCAAACGTGATGTCATTGTTACATTTTTGCATGTGCTCGTGTTCTCGGGTCGATTATGATATGACCCACTAACTCATTATCTGTCACGTGACATAATCAGTCGAAATCATAGTCAAACTTGTTAGTATTTTAAGTAATATTTATTAAGTTATATTTATAGATATATTTTAAGTAATTATTTTGATACTTTAATGACAGTTAAAACATCGCGTGTTGCGATACGTTTTACCCAGTGCTTTACGGTAGTTTTTTGTTATTGTCCAATGGTGTGTTGCTTTAAACCAGTAAACATATTTCAATTGTAATTTAACCTACAGCTTTTGTTTTCACAGTACCACTATGTTAAATAAAAGCAACATATCTTAACTTAAATAATGTTCTGAAAGATAAATCTAAAAAAACAACAACAACGAAACATAACCTTGGTCACACAAAGGTGCTGTCCATCCAATCATGCATCCAAATTTGCAGTTTCCATCAATTTTGTTACAGTATCCTTTCCCGCCATGACAATAGTCACTACATTTGGTAGAACAGTTCTGACCATAATAACCTTCATAGCAAGCTGCATCATAATAATGAGTTTATTTGTTATATGATTTGAAAAGCACATTTAGTATTAAATATAATAAATATGGAAGTTATCAATACAGACCAAGATTTCAATAAAAAAAAAACAATAAATGATTTACAATTTCTTCCAATGTTTTGTCTTATATGTTGATCACATTATTAATCATTATAGACGTTTCTCCATTGAAATATTGGTTAGGCATTTATTCAAATACGTTTGCTTTGCAATATTTAATGCAATAATTTGAACGTATCTAATCAAAATAACAATAGCTATAACCTTTGTGACGAATATTCATTAATAATAAATTACTAAATTAAATATTTATTAAATTCCAGGTACGTATTGTTTATGTTATTTGTATGGTATTAGAATATAAGAAAAGGTTCTCGAATAAAATATTTTTGCTTGGCGTGATCCTTTACATTAGAAGTTTTCAAATATGGCTATTTTTTTTTGGATATATTTACTCAACATATTACGAATACGATGAAATTCAATATCAAGTGATTGATAAAGGAAAATTTCTGTCACGTGTGAGAAGGTTGATTAAAAAATTTGATAAACAAGATCGTCAAGGAAAGGCGGCGTGCAATGAACACAGCCCCCACCGACCCAGTAACAAGAGTCAGTGGCAAGGAGCCCAGGAGGACCCCAAACAGAGCATAAGACAGAGTACGGGCAGGCAAACCACTACCTTAGAATAAATAATTAGAAACTGATAAGGAACTAAAAGAAAACAAATAAATGATTGAATATTAGGCCCATGAAGTCAAAAGGTACTGGGAAAGGGGAAAATGAGACCCTGGGAGGGGGAATATAAATAGAATAATAAAACAAGAGGGCCATGATGGCCCTGAGGTCGCTCACCTGTATATAGCCCTCCCCACCCCCCCCCCAACGTTGCAAGGCCAATTTAACCCAAGGGCTTTTATTTGCACAATCTTAGAAGATGTTTCATGCTAAACATCTAAGCTCTAGCTCATTGGGCTTTTTAAAAGAAGATTTTTTTTAAAGTTTTTACTATACACATATAGTTAAAAACAATGACACCCCTGGGGCCAGCTGGCCAGTTTTGACCCCAGGGCTTTTATTTGAACAAACTTTGTAGACACTTACTAGAAGATGTTTCATGCTTAATATCTAAACTCTAGCTATTTGGGTTTTTTCAAAGAAGATTTTATTTTTTGCTATACACATATAAAGAAAATCTATGACCCCCGGGGCGGGGCCAATTTTGAACCCAGGTCTTTTATTTGAACAAACTTTGTAGACACTCACTAAAAGATGTTTCATGCTTAATATCTTAACTCTAGCTATTTGGGTTTTTTCAAAGAAGATTTTTTAAGTTTTTGCTATACACATATAAGGAAAATCAAATGACCCCCGGGCGCGTGCCAATTTTGACCCCAGGGCTTTTATTTGAACAAACTTGGTAGACACATATTAGAACATGTTTGATGCTAAATATCTTAGCCATAGCTCTTTGATTTCTTTAAAAGAAGATTTTTAAAGTTTTTTACTATATGCATATAGGGAAAATCAATGACCCCCCGGGACGGGGCCGATTTTGACCCCAGGGCTTTTATTTGAACAAACTTGGTAGACACTTATTAGAACATGTTTTATGCTAAATATCTTAGCTCTAACTCTTTTGGATATTTAAAAGAAGATTTTTTAAGTTTTTACTATATGCATATAGGGAAAATCAATGAACCCCTGGGGCGGGCCAATTTTGACCCAGGGCTTTTATTTGAACAAACTTGGTAGACACCTATTAGAACATGTTTGATGCTAAATATCTTAGCCATAGCTCTTTTATTTCTTTAAAAGAAGATTTTTTAAGTTTTTACTATATGCATATAGGGAAAATCAATGACCCCCCGGGGCGGGGCCAATTTTAACCCCAGGGCTTTTATTTGAACAAACTTGGTAGACACTTATTAGAACATGTTTCATGCTAAATATCTTAGCTCTAACTCTTTTGGATCTTTAAAAGAAGATTTTTAAAGTTTTTACTATATGCATATAGGGAAAATCAATGACCCCCTGGGGCGGGGCCAATTTTGACCCCAGGGCTTTTATTTGAACAAACTTGGTAGACACCTATTAGAACATGTTTGCTGCTCAATATCTTAGCCATAGCTCTTTGAGTTCTTTAAAAAAGGATTTTTTAAGTTTTTACTATATGCATATAGGGAAAATCAATGACCCCCCGGGGCGGGGCCAATTTTCACCCCAGGGCTTTTATTTGAACAAATTTGGTAGACACCCATTAGAACATGTTTCATGCTAAATATCTTAGCTCTAGCTCTTTGGGTTCTTTAAAAGAAGATTTTTTAAGTTTTTACTATATGCATATAGGGAAAATCTATGACCCCCTGGGGCGGGGCCAATTTTGACCCCAGGGCTTTTATTTGAACAAACTTGGTAGACACTCACTAGAAGATGTTTCATGCCAAATATCTAAGCTCTACCTCTTATGGTTTTTGAAAAGAAGATATTTAAAGTTTTTTCTTTCGGTTGCCATGGCAACCAGAGTTCTGCATGGAATTAAATTCTTTGACCCATTTTTAAAGGTGACCACCAAAGGAACATTCCTGTGAAGTTTGGATGAAATTGGCTTAGTGGTTTATGAGGAGATGTCATTTAAAGTAAAAGTTTACGGGCGGACGACGGACGACGGACGGACGGACGCCGGACGAAAAGCGATCACAAAAGCTCACCCTGTTACTTTGTGACAGGTGAGCTAAAATAGGTTAAAGGGGAAGATACTTACCGTAGACGAGAAAACAACAAGAGACACAAAAGAGAGCCAGCTTTATTTAAAAAAGACACATTAAATATGATAAACAAGATCAACAAGGAAAGGCGGCGTTCAATGAACGCAACCCCCATACGACCCAGCAACAAGAACCAGTGGCAAGGAGCCCAGGCGGACCCCAAACAAACAGGACAGGGCAAAGATAGAGCACGGACGGGTTAATCATTAAATGATAAATAATTTGTAACTGATTAGGAATTTAAAGAAAAGAGATAATAATATGCCCACAAAGGGGATGGGACCGGTTGGGGGAAGGGGGGGGGGGGGGGGGGCGTTAATCAAAGAAATAAAAACTAGAGGCAAGGGGAAGATACTTACCGTAGACGAGAAAACAACAAGAGACACAAAAGTGTCACCGAAACAGTATCAAACACATAAACAAACATCGGAGGAACACAGAAGGGCGCCGCCTTGGAATGGTCAGCAGCATAAATACTGCTGGGGAGTTAAAAATGGAGAAAAACAGAATCCCTAAAGATTGTCCAACACAACAAAATTGAAAATGTTGCAGGCTCGGTTTGATTGAGTCTGTTCATGGACGGTACTGGAAAGTGCAAATTACCGTCCACGCCCCCTAGCACCGGCTAAGCAGAACATATAACACGAAAATGATGAAATTTTGAATTTAGAAACATCCGCAGATATTTACATACGGCGATTATCATGGAACCTTTAATGTGACACAGTAGTGCCATTCCATGAAAAGCAGCGTATGGTCCCCAAGTAAAAGAATGATTTTGCCCTCAACGAGAAAACAATGGGCGGAACTAAATATAATGGAATTTTGAAAGGGGATCTGAGGTTATGAAGCCTGCATATCACAGATATGGATATGTTTAATGGTGCACCAAACCTCAATACCTCAGAGCCACTTGACTCCAGACGGTAAATTTAAATAAAAATTTAAACAAAATTTCTTTCAAATAAACGGTAAATTACGATTTAGTTAGGTTAATTGCTTAAATCCATCCATTATTACTGACATCTTAATTCAAGAACGAATGTTGACAAAAGCCTCAATATATCGTGTGTTTTTCTTTGCATAATCTACTACGTTACTAACGCAGTAGGCAGAAGATAATTCATGGTCACGTGTCACAACAGTGGTTCGGAAAAATCCCGGTATCCGGTACGCCCGGGGTCGTATATCAACGTTCTTCAATGAAAAGGCCGTAATCATGTTTCAAGCTCAAGTTTAAATCGATATACTGGTCATCATATATTTTATAAAATTAATTAATTATAAAATTTTAGTGCAACAAAATTCAACACATGTCAAAACCAAAGCAGTTTATTGTTCCCCTCTATGCTTGATACGATCCCGATTTCCGTGCGTTTCACTGGTCGCGATACAGTCATGTAAAATGAGGTTGTACTAGAAAAAGGCCCTGATCAAGGAATTCCGTGGGAAAAAATTGAAGGTTTATCCCGTTAGCGTAAACTTTTTGTTTTCAGAGCAAGAATGTTGAGATATAAACATTTTGAAGTATCATTTTTTACTTCTTTAAACAATATCATGTTTTTGAGTATGGATTCTGAAATATTGGTATGACGGTTGTTTTTCTGTTAACTTCTGGAGGCCTGCTGGTTTAAAACAGAGAAAAATACCGATGTTAAATAAACAAAAATATAAAATTAACTATACATAGAATACCCAATAATCTTTGTAACCATAAATGAGACACTACAGGCCTAAGATTTTCGTAATTTAATTCCTATGTTGTACACAAATATTCACATAATTTAATAATTTGAAACACTGATTTTGAACTGTATAGGGACGGAGTAATTAAACATTTTAGAACAGAAGCTTCTTTTAAATTTAAACTAGAGAAGGAAAGGACTCATGATAAAGGTTTTATCTAGATACCTACACAGTATGTGTACAGGTCTATAAACTTGATGTGTGATACCTTAGAAAGTAATGATTATGGTCAGACAAAAGAGAGCCAGCTTTATTTAAAAAAGACACATTAAATATGATAAACAAGATCAACAAGGAAAGGCGGCGTTCAATGAACGCAACCCCCATACGACCCAGCAACAAGAACCAGTGGCAAGGAGCCCAGGCGGAACCCAAACAAAAAAAGGGGACAGGGCAAAGATAGAGCACGGACGGGTTAATCATTAAATGATAAATAATTTGTAACTGATTAGGAATTTAAAGAAAAGAATAATATGCCCACAAAGGGGATGGGACCAGGGGAAGGGGGGGGGGGGGCGTTAATCAAAGAAATAAAAACTAGAGGCAGTGGGGAAGATACTTACCCTGGACGAGAAAACAACAAGTGACACAAGCAAAAGTGTCACCAAAACAGTAAGAAACGACATAGACATACATCTGAGGAACACAGAGGGGCGCCGCCTTGGAACGGTCAGCAGCATAATAATGACTGCTGGGGAGTTTAAACCGGTTTCGAAGTACTTATAGCAAGAATAAGTTTGAAACCTTCTGACAAGGGAATCTGGCATTACTCACTAAGTTCTGTACATGTGTTTATAAACATAGCTTACTAGAAAATGTTTTCTAAATTCATTAGTCATATTTTTGAAAATAAATCTTAATATGAGGGAATATTACACTATAATCTCTTTAAATAAAATAACAAAACTGTTTAATTTTTGCAAATGAAAAGCAATTACTCTGATGTGTATAACTGTAATATTGATTATTTTTTAAGTTTAAGTTAAAGAATTATTTACTTTCTGTTGTGTCTGTTCTTTTCATAAGAATTCATGCATAACTTTATTTTGTTTAAAAAAACAAAAAACATTTGTATTGTTCTACATGTATAATGAAAACACAATTTTTATCAAAAGGATTGCACCAGACTTTTTTAAACGCTTTATCAAGATTATTCAATAACGTTATACCACGATCATTATTGACGTTATTCAAATCATCTTTTTTATCTTGTCGTATAATGAGAACTTCGGAAAGATACCTGCATCATGAACAATGTTAAATTAGGGCCTAATTCCCCGCGTACGTTTGTAAATCAATGTTAGATACATCATCAGAACTGATAATAATTTCATCTGTGGAAAGAAACGTTTCAACTGCATGGATGCATTTAAGTTCACGAGATGAAATAAAATTACATCTTATACAACAAACAAACAAATCTGCTTAGTTTATGCTTAAAAACAAGTTAAAACGAAATTCCCATAATATTAACATTTATATTAAAATCTGTTTTCCTATTGAGAGACTCATTTAGTCGAATTCTTATAAAATACAAGAAAGTATTGGGCTGAACAATAAGTTCGACAATCAACGTTAAATGGCGGTGATATTATTCATTTTATTTAAAAAATATGAATGATCGCTTGTATTAATGATAAAACAAACAATTCTATATGGAGAAAAAGTCCAACCATCCATCCATATTTCTGTTACTTACTGCGAAATTATTAGACCTGGCTCTGTTAAATGTAAGGGCCGCCATTTTTAAAGGTTGTGTATTTCACGGGAGGAAAATGATTGTGTTTGATTAAGATTTGGATATGTTAGTCATGCACTTATAAAAAAAGAAAACTTATTTGAGGATTGTAACAGACAATAAATAAGTGTTGACAGATGTGTAAACATTCAAAAAGCGGCTAAGAAATTGGAAAACTTGGAAGGCTGCCTTACGAACGCTGGGTTGTTTACTTATTCTTCGGGCTGATGGTTGGCATTGCTTTTCAAGTTTTTCACAAAGCATACGGCAGTTATTGCTAGGATACTTAAATATGCCCAAATGTCAAGAGCTGTTTTGCATGTAGAAGGAATTTTTTTTCAGACTGTAAAAATGAAACAAAAAAATTAAGAGACGCTATTTGGCGATGGTAATTTCAATGCAAAGAAGTATGTTTTCTTCTTGTTATTACTTTTGACATTATGTTATTTATCAACTTCATCTTTGCTTTTCTCTAAACAGCCTAACATTGTCGGAATTGTCAGCAAATATAAATTGAGGTACCACATGGGAAAAATCTTAAAAAAGTAGTTTTGTTTTTGTCATTGAAAAGTGTGAAATTATATTTTGATCATTTTCACTGTGAAATTATCAAATATCATTTTCACGGATAAATCAGTAATCCAGTGAAAAGCATTAACTAAATGGTAATATGTGGCGATTTCGTTGAAGCGTTACAATTGAGACTGAAATCATTGCTCGAATATTGTGACAATTGGGGGTTAGTGAGAAACACTGCGAAAACCAAATTGGTTACTTTTAGAAAACGAGGACCAGTAAAACGAAATTTCGTTTATTATGATGCCCGCTGATGACTTCATTTTTTTCGAAGTAACATTGAAACACATTGGTACTGTCGATTTTAGTGTTAAATGTCTAAAGGCAAAACACTCAGGGCAATGCACGCGTTATTATATTATATCATAAGATATAACATACTTCAGGATATTTCATTGCAACATTTTTTTTATTCGTCGGATCTAAATTGGTTTATCGTTGTCTTATGTTTTGGAGTTTACTAAATCTTTTGAACTGGAACGCATTCATTTCCAGTTTTGCGAAATAACTCTTGTATGTAAAGCAATCAACAAGTAACGCAGCTATATATGCAGAATTAGGTCGTTACCCTTTAAATGTATTTCGTTCTGTACATATTATTAAGGATTTCAAACCCTAATGGAAATTCTAAATTTAGAATCATTTTGTTTGCTTCGGACTTTTTTCTTATAACTGCATTAGAAGCGCATGGTCCAGAGGAAACACGCTCGTTTAAGAAGTGAAAGTTCTAAAGTTCAAATTTCAGTCAAGGCAACTAATGTTTTTAGATGTTTTTTTTTTTTTTCAAATGTCTTTTTAGCGATTTTAACATTTTTTTTGGAATTAGCCACAATGTGCAAGTATAAAGTATGGCTGTCATAAACATGTATATAAATGATATTATTATTATTATATAATGCAAGGTAGAAAGTTCTTATATAAAATGGTTATAAATTTATTAAATGACTTTTAGTGCGGAGTAACGTGAAGTTTGATGACAACCAAATTCATGACACACGGGCAACACAATTTAAATTTGAACAAAGATATCGTTGTCGCCTTGTTGTTATTGCTGTTACCATAAATAGTTACACAAAATCCCAAATATTGATGCAGAATACGTTTTTACGTTAACCATTTCTATTTAGCTCTGCATTTCATTACATGATTATATATGCCACTTGTCGTCCGTTTCATACGTTATGAAAAACGGTGGCCTTGGCCTTTACATGATGAAGCTAAAGCTGTGCTCTTTACATCGTCTCATTATGGTTAACAATTCTGTTAAAGAGTTTCAATATTTTGTTCAAAAGATACAGAGCGGACACAAAATTGCTAGCAATCGGTCGGTCGGACGGACGGACCACAAATTGCATAACAATATACGGGCGTAAGCCTCGGTTAATATCATATTAGCCAGGTCCATTTACTTTAATATGTAACTCATCATCATTCAATAAATCTATATTGTAGTTTTTAACATGAATTATTTTTACAGACTAGACTTTAAATGTTTTATTTATGCAATACCTTCATCGCACAAGTTTCCTTTCCATCCATCGTTACAACCTCCAAAACAACTTCCATCAGTAGTGCTACAAAAGCGACGTTGGTCTCCTTTGCAGTTCTTATTACAGCGGTTCATGCAATTTCGTCCATATCGCCCACTCGCACAATCAAAGGTTTCTTCGGCTTCTTCAAATTGAATTATGATATTTATATCAATATGTAAAACATTGTACAAGTTTACTTTTTTCTCCTATATTTCTTAACATTGTTCATGCCATGCACGGCGTTAACATCCTTTTTGACCCTTTTTGTAACCTTATTCTGAATACCGATAGTTAAAAAGAACATCGGTTATAAAATATAAGGTCGAGATTTGTAATATTCATTTGAAACATCAAACGTTATCACTAAATGATAACAATTTAACATCGAATGTCAAAATTGGACAAATATTTCATAAATGCAAAGCATACAGTGAGTATTATTAAATATGTTTGTTTTCTAATCGAAACTCTGGTGTGTAAATACTATGCAGACTTACTCCTCGTATTACAGTAACGCAGGATGTGATAAAAACGCAGACATTGTGCAATAGTGACACACAAAGTGTTTTTACTGATAGACCAAACGAGCACGAAAGTAAGTAAACGAAGCAATATATTTGAGAGCAAATCAATCTTAAGGAACTAAATTAGCTTGTGCGGTTGCCAAGACATTATATTTTAAGTCTCATTAAATCCACATCTGGGGTCAGTATCTCGAAGCTATCGTTAGCATAATGACTGCTATCTCGACGCTCTCGTAATTAACAAATAATCGTTAATATGCCCACTTATTAACGGATGCCTAGAAGGTGTCGTAAAGCTCTTGTTTACTTATAGAGTAATAAAGCTGCGATTTAAAATAGACAGAAAATGAGAATTATATCAACTTATGGAAAAAAATGATGAACCTACATAAATATGATATTTTATGTATTTTTCTCAAATATCAAATACATGTAAGAGATCTTTAAGATTACATAAAGAACTATATTTGAAACGGATGAAAAAAATCACATCATAACTAATAAACTCCGTAATGTGTAATTTTGCACAAGAAAATATAAATAAATACCTGCATGTACATAATGTTAAAATTCGGATTTTTTTACAGAATTATATTTCGAAAAGTAAACTTTGACGTAATGATTTAATGGCATAATGAAGAAAAACTTATTACGTTACGGCAACAAAAAGGCATTAAAACAATACATTTTATTTGTTTTACATTTCAGATTGAAATATATTTCTCTTACGAACACTAGCTGTGATATTTTTAGTTGTTATATTTTAATTTGTAATACATAATTCTTTGTTAATCCATTGTTTAATTCAAAATGAAAATGTATCGCTAAATTAACAGCAGCCGTGTACATAAGATTTATAAGTTATAAAGATCGTTGACAGGTTATATGGCCCTATATAAACGGCTATTTGTAAATATAGTAAGATTTCTTTATGAATCGACAGTACCCGTGTATATTATAAGTTATAAAGACTTTTGACAGGTTGCATGCCCTTATATAAACGGTTGTTTTGTAAATAACATATTTTTTATCAAGTTACAATACTACACATAAAACACAAAATTTCACAAAAGGCGAGGGTTATACTGCAAACAACCGTTTATATACGGCCATATAACCTGTCAGGAATATTTAACGAAGAATAACGAAGTTATAATAATAATACAGCAAATCCCTTTTAAAAAAGTAAGATTTCCAGCACTTGATAATATATGGAATATGTGGAATTTTATCATTTTATTCCATTTTTTATGGAATTTGTTTCCATATTTCACTCAAACGAAAAAAACATCTTCTGAATATTTCTTTTAAAACTAAACCCATTGTCATATCATTATCATAGTCATAATCATTTATTTTATATCACGATGGTTTTCTTTTAACTTTAGAAAAAAACTATATTGTTAATGGTGAGACCATTGGCATATGCCATTACATACTCCATTTATGCAGCGCCTATATTGTATACTTAGCAAAGTTATGACTGGAATTTTAATTCATTGTCCCTTATATAAAATTATGTTTAAATAAACAGACTATTCAAAAAAGAAACTATGAGGACTGAGTGTGCGCTAGTAAAATTTATTTAGATATTTGCAATTTCAATATTTCATCAAGTCGGTCAGAATTTTGGCTTTGATTGTGTAAAGTGTTTAAAATGTCTGACACCACTGGCAGCCGTTGCTACTCAATCTTCAGTCTCTGCTATATCCACTCGTTTTTCCTCCTTATCTAGTCTTGCGGTTGTATTTTAGGTTTTTCCCTCTCAATAGAAACAAGTAGAGATTTTGATGCTAAAGCATCAAGTCGCCGGATAGAAAAATGATTGTTTTATCATAAAGATCATAAGAAAATATCAGTTTAATGGTTCAAGTACAATGTATAAAAAATTGGAACAATATGTTGATTATTTGTAAGGCAAGTGATTGCTGGTAATTCTACTTGTAATTCTTCTTTATACATAAACTGTTGTACCATACATTGAAATCTTTATGAGTTACAAGTTCAGGATCTGATAATTACTAACAAATAATTACCGATCATCGAATATTTGCAAAGTGACTATGAAATGAAACAATGCAATTCTACTTTAAAAGTGTTATACATCATTATTATGCGCTATCGAAAAAATATATAATTTAGTTGAAATTCCCATCGTTACATACGATCTAATTAACGTTTAATTAATTGCCTTTCAGTGCGATTATCTATCAACACAAAGATAGGTTTTTTTCTATTTTTTTTAATTCTTTATAATGTATCTAATACGATTCCGGACCCCTACTGTCATACCGTTTTGAAACCTGCGCGACGGAAACCGACGGAATATAACAAAATCAACGATTACCATTATATATTTCAATAATGTGCCTCTTAAGCACAAACTATTTGTTGTTAAATCATCGACAATTACTGGTGCATGTTTTTAAACTTTTTTTTCATTAACAAGGTGTAAAGATGTATATAGAGACCAGAGCAGATCGTGACATATGTTTAAAACGTAACTTATAAGTACAGTGTTCAGTTGTCCCTTTTCTTTTCACACTTAATTCCATTTCGAACGTGTTTGATTAATTTCTACAATTGTATAAAATTTCTTAAAATATTGCATGTAAACAAAGTAAATATCCACTGATTAACATCATGTATAATTTGTACTCCCTAATCGCTTGTCCGAAAGTCAGTGCAGGTGATGGAGTGGTGATTAGGTAAAATCTATTTTTAGAACAGTGTTACCTTCAGATCGAAGGCTATTATACAAAATTACAATTATTTGCATCTCATCAGCCGCTATACATTTTGCCAACCATTAACAAGTTACCTGTATGTCTTATGCAATCTGTTTCTAATGATAGATTTTATAACGATGTAGTCACGTGATTCAGAGAGAATTTGTTTATAATTAGATAAAATAATGAAATATAATAGGTCTATAAAGTTTAAACAACCAAATAATTTAAAAGTGTCATTTCAAATATCATTCATGATTTATATATCATAAAATAGCAACGCTTGAAACATGGAAAAAAATTAAAGTATCCCTAAATTCAATGACTGATCCTTAGGGATACATTATTGATTCATTTTATGAATATTGTAATGTTGCTTTTTTAGATGTCAATATGTGGATATCTCATTTCATTGAGCAAATGTATCATATGTTTGATTTTTTTAGATTACTGAAAATGAATGTGGTCTTTAATGGTTCAGTAATTGATTTGCTTTTATCTTCAGATTTTAAGGGCTTCTCCTACCATAGGTATAATATTAAACTGTTACAAATATAGTCGCCGGTTTCTACGGCGACTAGTCACGTCAGTTTTATAGGAACTTCCAACATTTGCAATTTATGGTAGCTGAGTTGGTACATTGCGCGTTTCATTGTCAATAGCGACAACGCAACCTATATGTTATCGCCTTTTTGTCTTGCTGTGGTGACAGCACGACAAAGTGCCAAACGGCGCGTTGTCGCACTGTCGTCTTGTCGTCCTGTCTCAAGCGAAGCACGCTAAACGGCGCGTTGTTGTGCGCCGCATTGTCGCGATGTCGCCCTTACGCTTGGCTTATAAGCCAATCCTTCGATTTGAACCGAGAGACAATTTGACATCGCGAAAACACACCGCACGACAACGCGCCGTTTGGCGTAAATCGTTAGCGACAGGACGACAAGATGAAAGTCCGACAACGCGCCGTTTGGCACTTTGTCCTGTTGTCGCTAGCGCCAACACGACGCACAAAAGCGTTCAAATTAGCCCCCATGGCAATTCTTCTTGGTTTACGTCTTGTTTCGGCAATTTTTTCCTGCTTTAACACACTGTTCGCGGTATTTAAATGATTGCATAACTCAATCGTTAATAACTAATGAGTAAGCAACGAACTATTGCTTAAATATTATACGAGATACCCGCGTTTCTCGTTAACCAACCTCTCGTTAACGAGAGACAAGATCTCGAAAGCGATATTTAAGCAATCGTTCGTTCCTTACTCGTTAGGTATTTACGATTGAGTTATGAAACCATTTAAATACCGCGAACAGTGTGTTAAAGCAGGAAAAATGTCCGAAACAAAACGTTAACTAAGACGCTGGAAATTCCTCTGAAACTGACTTGAATTCTACTGAAAGGGTAAAACTTAAAATAGAAACTGCAAATATAGAAACGGAGGAATAACGACTGTATATAGAACATCAGAGACTGAAGATTGTGCAGCAACGGCTGCTAGTGGATTCAGAATTCAAACACTTTACTCAATCAAAGCCAGTATACTGGCCGAGCTTCTTCTCAATACCCGGCATAAAATCTAGGGACAGATAACCCTCTCTCATTTTTTCAGGCTATAGCAACATGTTGTTTCAGGATGCCAGTACACATTCAAGATTTAAACTTGAAAATAATGCTTTCATGGATGAAATATTGAAACTGCAAATATCTAAATGAATGTAAATAGCGAACACTCAGTCGTCGTAGTATCTATTTTGAATCGTCCGTTTATTTCAACACATATAAGTACAATAAATTAATATTCATCTTAGTCCAAGCTTAGTTTACAATGTAAACGCTGAATTAATGGAGTATGTACTGGTATATACGGTGGCACAAATGTGACATGTGTGTGTTTT